CATTCAGAGGACCCGCTCAATCAAGTAGCCAGCTTGCGATCTATTGATCACTCATTAGTAATGCAAGTAGGACTTAGTCAAATCTCTGAAAAAAATTTTCTCGCCACAACTATCTGAAAATTTCTGATATTCGCATTTTCGTTCTATCTGAAAATTTCTGATATTGGTAGTTCGTTTTTACGTGACAAATATCTGAAAATTTCTGACAAATCGCATTTCGTTTTGTCTGAAAATTCCCGATAGTAGCATTTCGTTTCTCTGATATTCCGCATACATAGCTGAAATTTCTGAAGTTAGTATTTTCGTTCTCTAGGCATATTGGGATAACGATAGAAGTGGTGATATTCTCGGAAACTGAGAGTATTCTTTTCTGAAAATCGCATTTCCATTCGATCTCGCAAATTTTTTTTTTTGAAAACAGAATCTTGCGAAGCCTACCAATATTGCGTTAGGCATATTCGGAGGTTGCTATATTCTCAGAAACTGGATTTCGTTCTTTTCTGACAATCACATCTTTACTCCATTTCGCAAATTTTTTTTTTTTCAAGATCGCATTTTGTAAAAGCCGAAACTTTGCGGAACCTAGCCTAGATCTCGTTCATAATACTCTTCTGACATATCCTACTCACCATAGATCGACAGATATATACAAAAAAAAAAGAAAAAAAAAAGGAAGTAGTCCTCTTTTATTTTCATTTTATTTTTTATCTGTTGATTAGGGCCCCTACCTCCGTTTTCCCTCCCACCCACCCCTTGCATGCATCCCGGTTCAGTACAGTGCCACGTCAGCAGTGCCACATAACAGTGCCAGATCAGCAGTACCACGTCACAGTGCCAAGTCACAGTGCCACGTCAGCAGTGCCACATCATAGTGCCACATCAGCAGTGCCAGGTCACAATGCCACGTCAGACATAGTGCCACGACAGCAGTGCCACGTCAGACACAGTGCCACGTCAGCAGTGACGTCAGACACAGTGCCACGTCAGCAGTACCACGTCAGCAGTACCACGTCAGACACAGGGCCACGTCAGCAGTGCCACATCAGCAGTGCCACGTAAGTAGCAGTGCCACGTCAGCAACATGACGGGCCTGCCAGGCCAACTGCCCAACGAGCCACTTGCAGCCTACAAGCAGTGGTTCAAGGCTCGGATAGAGGCTGAGGAACAATGCCAGCTGGCAGCCGAGGCTGCCCGCGTACAGGCTGAAGAGGCAGCAGCAGCAGAGCAACTGCAGCTACATGCCGATGCAGACGCAGATGCCCAGGCTCGCCGCAAGGAAGCCCAGGATCTTCTGCAGCGGCATGAAGCCAACAGCATCGACAGACTCAAGTTCTGGCATTTTGAACCAAACGGCGACGAGGCAACACCGGAAGAGAAGCACAAGGAGTTCGTCTCCAAACTCGTGACAAGGTTGTTGTACACTTTCAACTACCAACGGTCAGAGTTGGAGAGACAATACCAAGACCTGACGCAACAGCATCAGGAGTTGGCAAAGCTCCGCCGCATGGTGCAGAGCCATGAGGATGCAACTCGGGCACTCAATGCCCGATTGCTGGACCTGGAACAGGCTGTACCAGGACCAGCTGCTGGGGCTTCCAGCAGTGCACCCTCTAGCCGCCAACTGGAGGACCGTGTTGACCACGTAGTGGCAATGCTTGGCGACATCAGCACTTTCGCTGCGCCGACCACCACCATCAACAGTCAGCTGCATACATTGAAGACCGAGGTCCAGCAGCTGCAGATGACGAACGCGGATGGCAACCCGAAGATGTATAAGAAGCCAACTTTCAATCTGGAGAGGTTCAACGACTACACGCAGCAGGATCCGGTCCTCTGGTGGGAAGCATTCACAACGCAACTTAGGATTCTGCCTGTAGCCAAGCATGCGTACATCGGCGCCCTGTTCCTGAACTCAAAGGGCGGATGCCAGACCTGGTTGAGCCACCTGGCAACCTCCCACGGCGTCGACGTACCAGACTTGAAGGACAAAATCACATGGGAGAAACTGACACGGCTGGCGGTTCATCGTCGACGACGCGCCGACACTCGCCATCAACCGTCTGTTTACCATGTCACAGGGCAACACTGCAACATGGGACTGGCTCACGGAGTGGCAGAAGATTGCGGCAGTGCCCAATCTGGATCTGCCTTTCACTCATCTCAGACGTGAGTTCTACAACAGGTCCTGTGCTGCATTGAGCCAGGCTCTTGGTGATCGTGAGTAGTACTCCACTTTCGCCGAGATTATCGACAAGGCGAGAGAGATCATCAAGATCAACAAGTCACCTGCACACGAGAAATCAACATGGCAGCCGACCTATGTGGAGAAGGCACGAACTGGTCCGCGACAGCAGCMCTTCGCTGCAGTCCAGCAGGACAGTGGAGATAACCCAGCAGCCACTCCAGCATCAAGTGACGGAGATCAGGTGGCTGCTGTCCAGCCGCGAAGCA